TGACAAATGAAAGCAAGTAGAATCTACAAACCCAAGCAAATTATTCTTTAACAAATATTTTAAATCTAGGGCGGCGCCTGTGGCTCAAAGGAGTAGGGCACTGGCCCCATATACCAAGGATGGTGGGCTGGAACCTGGCCCCGGCCAAACTGCAACAACCAAAATATATATATATTTTAAATCTATTAAAACATTCTTTGGGCTTTATTCCCATGCCATTATAATCTTATAGTTAAATTTTTAAAGTTATTTTAAGAACAACTAATGTTACACTGAGCATGGTGGCTTGTAATCCTAGCAGTCTAGGAGGCTGAGGCAGGTAGAGTGCTTGAGTTTAAGACTTCAAGACCAGCCTGAGCAAGAGGGAGACCCATCTCTACTAAAAATTAAAAAAAAAAACTGAGGCAAGAGGATCACTTGAGCCCAGGAGTTCAAGGTTGCTGTGAGCTATGATAATGCCAACGGCACTCTACCCAGGGTTACAGAGTGAGCCTCTGTCTCAAAAAAACTAAAACAGGCTCAGCGCCCGTAGTTCAATGGTTAGGGTGCTGGCCACATACACTGGGGCTAGCAGGTTCAAACCTGGCCCAGGCTTGCTAAACAACAATGACAAGTACAACAACAACAAAAATAGCCAGGCATTGTGGCTGGCACCTATAGTCCCATCCCACCTACTTAGGAGACTGAGGCAAGAGAATCACTAAAGCCCAAGACTCAGAAGTTGCTATGAGCTATGACACCATGGCACCCTACCAAGGGCAACATAGTGAGACTCTTTCTCAAAAAAAAAAAAAAAACTAAAATAAAAAAGAATAACTAATGTTAAATATTCCTCATGAAAGTAATCATTTATTTATAGGCATAGTAATTATCATCTTGTCATGTGCATGATTCTATTTTGAATTTTATTTACTTTCAAGTAAAATATCTAAATAAAGCCCAGACATACACACAAAATTTCTTATACCATTATGTTAAAAAATGCTATAATTCCTTTACAATACAAAAACAAGTACCTAGATATAAACAAATAAAAATTTGAATTAAAAAAGCCACCTTATAAACCAATGAGTTTTTTTCCTGAAAATTTGGGCCAAAAACATTGGTAAGCATTATACATGACAAAATACAGTAATCACTCACTGCCACATTTTATTAAGTATAAAGGAATCTCATGAAGCCATAAGCACACATCACAGTCCTTCCTTAAAGTATCTTACAATCCAATTGTGAAACTGGAATACATGCAAACTTTATGTTCAGAGGTTAGAAGAGTATAGGTATTCCAATAAATGTTTACTAGATTCATTAAGAGTTAAACATCACAAGATTCAAAGTACCATGTTGGCCAGGTGTGATGGCTCCCACCTGTAATCCCAGGACTTTAGAAGGCCAAGGCAGGAGCTGACTGCTTGAGGCCAGTAGTTTGAGACTAACACCAGCCTGAGCAACACAGTGAGACCCCATCTCTACAAAAATAAGAAGTGGTACATGCCTACAGTCCCAGCTACTTGGGAGGCTAAGGTGGGAGGATCACCTGAGCCCAGGAGATCAAGGCTACAGTGAGCTATGATCACACCACTGCAGTCTCACCTAGATGACAAGAGTGAGACCTTGTCACAGAAAAAAAATGACAAAGTAACATAGAAAGATAATAGGCAAGATAATTCATTTTCATGATTACCAAATGAACTATACATCAAAAGGGCTATAAATTTTAAAGAAAAGAGTACTCACTTCAGACAGGGAGGTTGTTCTACACAGGAGATAGAATTTAAAATAGGTCTGGAGAAATGGGTGGGGTTACAGTTGTGGGAACAAAAATACTAGCATTAGTGTTACTATTTACTCTCTGTATGAGAAAAGACAGTAGTACTGGTGTTAATACTACTTACTCTCTGCAGTAAGCTTATAGATGCGCCATCTCCAATACTATACAGGGTTGTATCACTTTTACTAAAAGATCATATTTTACTATCCAAAACAACCAACTTTAAAAAGCTAACCACAGAATAAACTGAAACAGTAATCACTTCCTTATTCCATCAAAGTTGTGTATCTGCTAGTTCATCCACCTAAAAAGTTTTACCCTCAAGTCTCTGAGCATAATTATAATTGCTAATTTTTCCTACTTTAGGTGCCTATAAGCTAAGGCTAAGGCTCCAGTCACATACACCGGAGGTAGCAGGTTCAAATCCAACCTAGGCCTGCCAAACAACAATGACAACTACAACCAAAAAATAGCCAGCCATTGTGGTGGGTGCCTGTAGTCCCAGCTACTTGGGAGGCTGAGGCAAGAGAATTGCTTAAGCCCAAGAGTTCGAGGTTGCTGTGAGCTGTGGCACCATGGCAGTCTACTGAGGGCAACATAGTAAAAAGTGAGACTCTGTCTCAAAAAAAAAAAGTCCTACTTTACTAGAGATTAAAATGAAAAAGAAAATCTATTAACAACACAGTCATCCTCAGAATGCAACAAGTTATGTCACTTACCTTGGCCCAAAACTTAGGAAGCCCTTTGCAGCTGTTACAGAAACCAGAAAGGTAGTCTTGAAAGAATCAGGATCAGGGCAAAAAGTTAAATTAGCAAGTACAATTAGTGTAAGTACATCAATCTTCCCTCATAGCCCTTTCTCATTATGACTAGAACAATGTGTGTATCTCCTGACTTCCAAAGTCCTCCCTTACCAACAATTGACTCTTCATGCTAATTTTAGCCAGATATAATATAAAGGAGAGTGAGTAAAACAATAAGAGTAGAGATAAGATTTAGGAATAGGCTTAATATATCATTTAATAAAAGATTGTTTATTCATTCACAAGTATTTATACAGCACCTACTGAGGTTGGAAATATAATGGTTAGCACTTTTCTGCATCCCAATAGACCCTGTTTTTACCCCAGCCAGAAGCTAGGCAAATCACCTTTCAGGACCCCCATCTATAAAATGGAGCTAATAACTACTCTCATAGAGATGTAATGGGTTAAATGTGGTAAACCAACCTTTAAAGTAGTCTGTGCTCAAATACAATAACACAGTTCAAAGACTGAAACATTTTCAGAACAGCAGGTAAAAAAAAGAAAAGGCCTATAAATATAAAAATATATACAGTAAGCTAATATTTATCCCTGGACAGGAAGCAGCTTTAAACATCTCTGTCTCCCTCAAGGTATTTGGCATGCTGCCCTTCATTTAACGAGGGTTCGGTAAACACATGTGATTTTTCTAAGGTATGGAGTACTGTAGTTATTTTAATAATCTGGCAAAGAAGAATGAACAAAAAGAACTAGTATTTACTGCTGCCTGTTATGGACTAAGTACTGTGCTGGGCACTTCACCTATGTTATTTCATTTAATTTTCACAGCCACCTTATAAGGTATGTATTATTAATCCAAAAATCAAGAGTGGATTTTCATTTTCCAAGAATCAGATCATAATACATCTAAACCTTAAAAAATGAGCAACCTATCTTACATTTGGCAGTGTTCACTTATTTCATGTTCAAAGAATTAAGGAAACCCTACCAAAGGGTATTGGGGGGGGGGGAACCCATCATTAACATGAAAAGAAAATGCAGGAAAATATAAATGGCCAATAAATGAATCTTGTAAATGTTCAATCTTACTAGTAATTTTAAAAATCCAACAGAAATGAGAAATCCTTTGGCCAGACTGGCCAATACAATACAAATTTTTAACAGGCAACATTTCCTTCAGGCAAATCAGCAGTGTTTCCTCTGTGTTCTTTATAGGTGTGGGACATTCCCATGTGACTCATCTACCATCACCCCCATGATTCTCAAGGGGGATTTAAGGCCAGTGTCTGAAGAAAATGATCAAACGTGTACACTAATATTTATTTACTCTAAAAGACATTCTTGGCCATGATGTCTACAATAGAGAAAAGGGATCCATATGAGATAAATGGCACCGAAGTTCTACTTTAAAATAGTTAAACTTAAAACACATGTTTATCTTTCTTCCCACATTAAAACCCAATGAAATAAGAAAACAAATATAAAAATAAATCCAGAGCAGCCTTGAGAGTCTAAAAGGTGCTCCCAGCAGATAGATGGATGAGGAATTCCGAGGAATTAGGATAGTGATCAACAGTGTCAGGTGCAACAAAAATGTCAAGTAAAATAGGACTAAATGAATCCCCTAGATGCATCACACCAGAAGTCACAGGCAATCTCAGCAAAAAAATGTTTGAGCAGTGATGGTGGTGGGAAGCCAGAGAGCAACAGCTGAAGTTTGAGAAGTGAATGAGAAATAGATAGACTATGTACAGACCACTCTTTCAGAAGATTAGATGAGAAGGGAAGAAGGTTAGGTAGCTAGGAGAGGAGCGGTTCAGGGAAGGTTTTCTAGGATGAGAACCTTAGGCATAAGTTAATGGGCAAAGAAAAACAAAGGGATCAAAAGTGAGACCCCAAGGAAGCAGCAAGGTTACTCTATCTCAACACTACTGACATTTTAGACCAGGTAATTTGTTGTGGGGACTGTCCTGTGCATTGTAGGATGTTCAGCAGCCTTGCTGGCCTCTACCCACTAGAAGCCAGCAGCACACAAATCACCACCATCCCTCAGTTGAGACAACCAAAAATGTCTCCAGACCTTACCAGAAGTCCCCTGGGGGCAAAATCCGACCCTCAAACTGAGAACCACTAGGAACACAATGGGAAGACAGGGAATAACTGATGGAAGAAGGCTGCCAAAGAAGAAGGAGCAATGCTAAGGGCCTCTGACAAGGGACTGGTCTTCAACAGCAGAAGCATTTCATCTTCTGAGACAGGAGGAAAGGGCAATTTGGGGAAGGTAGGTGCTGATAAATTTGTAGATGGAGCCAGAAAATCAACCAGAAGGCTCAAGGTTTTTAGTAAAGTGGAAGCAAGGTCATGGCTGAGTATAAGCGGCAGGTCTGAAAAGAGGCTAAGGTTTGTAACAACAGGGACTGGTTGGAATAGAGCTAAATGAAACAACTGAGGTTGGAAACCACTACACTCCCTTCTCACTGAAAATGTTGAAATGCACCTTTCTACAGAAATCAACCACTATATACTGATTACAGTCCCAAAGAACTCATAAGTCCATATGAATTTCAACTGCATAACAGGAAGAACAGTCTCATGAGGTTTACCCAGGAAACTAATCCAGTCTTTTAGTAACACAGTTCCTATCACATATCTGAAGTGTGCACTATACAATCAACATCTATATGAACTTTTGGTTAAATAACTTGTTCAAGTTAGAGGATGCCTGTGGTTATAACTACTTCCTGGTTCTTAACTGCTTGAACTACTTACTATTAAATGAGATTGTTCACAGGACAAAGACCTGCTCACTCCTGCCCTCTAAACCAAGGGCTACAAACTCAAATAATTACAGAACCAGGAAACTGGAGAAGTTGCCTGAAGTCTGTACATGGGAAAGAAAGCTGGAGGTGAACCAATAGCACAAAGCCAAACGACACAAAGGGTTTGGGTGAAAAAGAAAAAACCAAAAAAAGCTACAGCCCAGAACCACGCATAGAAAAAGTGACCAAAGCAGAAGGAAAAACCCAAGAGCACCAGAGAACCATTTGAAAATAGCTCAAAAATTCTCCAGAAGCACTGAACTCCAAGAGTTCCAGCAGAGACAAATGCAAAACCACCCAAAAGAGCATCTCATAACACCAGGCATAGGCAAATAATTCCCAAATTGTCAAATACTGCAAACTACAAAAAAATAAAAAATAAAAAAACCACAACAAGCACAAAAAAATTGGAAGGAGGAAAGAGAGATGGGAAATTTTATTCCTCAATAAGTACAGCTAAGGGGCAGCGCCCTCCCTACAAAGGAGTAGGGCACCAGCCCCATATGCCAAAGGTGGCAGGTTCAAACCCAGTCCCACCCAAAAACTGGAAAAAAAAAAAAAAGAGTACAGCTAAGGCTCAGCGCCTGTAGCACAGTGGTTGTGATGCCAGCCACAAGCACCGAAGCTGTTGGGTTTGAGCCCAGCTTAGGCCTGCTAAACAACAATGACAACTGCAACAAAAAATAGCCAGGCATGTGGCAGGCGCCTGGAGTCCCAGCTACTTGAGAGGCTGAGGCAATAGAATCACTTAAGCCCAAGAGTTTGAGGTTGCTGTGAGCTATGATGCTACAGCACTCTACTGAGGTGACATAGTGAGACTTTGTCTCAAAAAAAAAAAAAACTACAGTTAAAAAAATAATCTGAAGGAGACTTGTAACTATATTTTTAAATATTCATAGAAAAGAATATGCCCTTGTAAAAACTGAAAAGCAAATTTGAAAGAAAATGAAAGAAATAAATTCTTAAATTTAAAAATATAAGCAACTGTTTTTTAGTGAAACCCTCAATAAATATGTCAACCTGAAATAACTGAAAGAATCAGATCCAGTTTTAAGGAGTTTATTCGAGTGAAAAGCTGGGAATGGCCATTTGGGAGACAATAGACTCCAGAGAAATGGAACCAGTATTCCAAAGTCAAAAGTAAATTCTTGTTTCTATAGGCAGAAAACAAAGAAATTTAGTGGAATCATAACACTTTCTATACAAAGCTGGTTTAGAGTTACAACAATTTAGAAAGTTACAGTTCGCTTTCTTTTCCTTTGGCATGTTTTAATTTCCTTCCCAACTTAAAAAGAATATATTTGACATTCCATCTTAAGATACTGTCTTTGTGAGAGAAAGATAAGAATGAAGTTAATCCATAATAAAGATCAAAAGTGAAAATGAAAGGGTCTTTCCTACAACCCTTTAGTCATTACCAACTTTTTATAAAACAATGCCAAGTAAGGAAGACATCTAACCTATGAACAGAGAAATAGCTGCCTGTCCTGTGACTCAGGCCCCATAATCCCATTCCTTTAAGGTCAAAATAATTTAGAGTTCAAACAGCTTAGATTCTGAATTACTTATTTTCACAATAGATTAACAAATAGACTATACAGCTAAAGAGAAAATTAGTGAACTATAAAGTAGATGTTGAGAAATTACCCAGTAGAAATGTGAAATATTAAAGAAAATTCAAACAATATGGAGGATACAATGAAAAATTCCAATGCATATCTAAATAATAATTCCATAAATGGAAAATGGGAGAGAAACAATATATTAAAAGATAATGGCTGAGATTTTTTTTTTTCCACAACTGAAAACACGATGAATCCTCAAACTAATGGAAGGAATACTCCAAAGAAGAGCAAGATAAATAAAACAAATCCACAAAAAATCTACAGATTGGAAACAAGGAAAAAAACCTTTTTTTTTTTTTTTTGAGACGGAGCCTCAAGCTGTCCCCCCGGTAGAGTGCCATGGCATCACAGCTCACAGCAACCTCCAACTCCTGGGCTCAAGTGAGTCTCCTGCCTCAGCCTCCCAAGTAGCTGGGACTACAGGCGCCCGCCACAACACCTGGCCATTTTTTTGGTTGCAGCCATCATTGTTGTTTGGCTGCCCGGGCTGGGGATTCGAACCGGCCACCTTAGGTGTATGTGGCTGGCGCCTTAGCCACTTGAGCCACAGGTGCCGAGCCAAAAAAAATCTTAAAAGTAGCCCAAGACAAGAGATAATTATCTACCTACAAAGAAATGACTAGAGATTTCTCATTAGGAAACAAGACTTGACAAAACACAAAATAATAACTATCAAAGTACTCAAGGAAAATAATTGTCAACCCCAAATTTTATACCCAGTTCAACAATCATGAGAAAAAGTGAAGACACTTTGAGAAACACCAAGACCAAGTTTACTATTAACAGACCCTTACTGAAAGAACTATTTGAACAGTATAAAGAAGGAAAATAAACCAAGAAAGAAGTGGAATGAATAAAGAATGGTAAGCAAACATATCTGAGAAACATGTTGGTGAGTAAATATTCACTATTTTTAGGGTTTAATGTGGCATAAACAAGGCAAAACTAACACATAAACATTAAAAGGAAGAGGGGATAAGGGTTAAGAGATCCATTCTAAAATCTTGGTCTTATTCAGGATGATAGGAATAATAGTTAGACTTAATATGTTAAATTTTAAAAGTAATCAAAATTTCTGGCTTTAATCGTAGAATAGAGCTGGACGAAACACAGCTACACCCCCTTACAATAAAAAATTGCTGAACCAATTTCAAATTTATGAATTTCTTTAGACCCAACACAGAGCAACCACTTGGCTCAAAAAATAAGTAGAGACAGTGCCTGCAGGGAGAGAGGAGACAACCTTGTGTTCACCTGGGGTAAACTGCAACTGGACATCAAGAACAGGAGTTCAGATAAAAGCTAGCAAAAAAAAAAAAAAAAAACAGTGAAAGCTGATGAGGCTTACTGAAAGGCCCCTGTGAAACCACCAGTCACAGAAACTGGGGAGACCCCTACCTTCTGCAGGATCTTCCTCTACCAACTCTCCCCAGGCACTCAAAGAGGAGAGAACCTGGAGGAGTGCCAGATTCTGATTGTGATGCAGACCTAGATGACATCACAACAGGTAATCCTGAGGGGCAAGACTCTACACTCAGATCCTCTCTTCCCCTATGTCCACTATGGAAGACAAGTCTTCAGAAAAACAGAGACCATACCCTACTCCTCCTACCCATCTCCAAACTAACAAACGTCCAAGAACAGTAACAGCAGAATACTACTGGGGGAAAGGACAAATCAAGACAATCAAGTTTAAAGGAGAGTCAAGAAATTAAGAATGGGGTGGTGCCCATAGCTCAGTCAGTAGTGCACGAGCCACATACACCAAGGCTGGTGGGTTTGAACCTGGCCCGAGCCTGCTAAACAACAATGACTACTGCAACAAAAAATAGCCGGGCGTTGTGGTGGACGCCTATAGTCCGAGTTACTTGGGAGGCTGAGGCAAGAGAATCACTTAAGCCCAAGAGGAGTTGGAGGTTGCTGTGAGCTGTGACACCATGGCACTCTACTCAGGGGCCACACCTTGAGACTCTGTGTCCAAAAAAAAAAAGAAAGAAAGAAAGAAAGAAATTTAGAATGGGACACACACTCCTAGTAAACCAACTCCCTGCCCAATTACAAAGTATTTCTCAGAGAATTTGAAGACTAAAGCACACTGAGGATAACCACCACTACCACAACCAAAAACAAACACAATCCAACTCCTAACTAGGTTAACTTAAATCTCAGCACTAAAGGCTTAGCAGAAAGAAGTGCCCATTTACAGAGATAAAAAATTATACACTGCAGTCTCCATTGTTATACACAATAAGTCAGGCTTGTGACAACAAAAAAAAATCACAAGATCTAAAAAAGGCAAAAAATAAAAAAGAGCACTCAGGAAAAGAAAAAGCTTATCAGGAACAGACAGAATCAAACAGATGTTGAAAACATCTAAAATGAAATGTGAAATACTGTATGTTACATATTGAGGGCTCTAACTCAAAAGGAGAAAAACATGCAAAATGAGATGGGTAATTTCAGTAGAGAAATTCTAAGAAAGAATAAAATGAAAGTGCTAAAAATGAAAAATAGTTAAGAGAGACAAAGAAGCCTTCAATGGGCTCATCAGTAGTTTCAATTCAGCCAAGGAAACAATCAGTGAAACTTGAAGACAGGTCAACATACATTATCTCAAAACACAGAGAAAATAGTGGGGGGGAAAGCTAGAATATTCAAGATTTGTGGGACACTATCAAAGTATCGAACACACTAGTAATTGGGACCAGAAAGAGAAGGAGACTGAAGAAATATTTAAAGAGAGAATGGTTAAAAATATTCCAAAATTAATGTAAGACATCTAACCATAAATCCCAGAGAATCAGAGAAAACAAACAGATAAATACCAATAAAAAACATCTATATACAGTATATATACACACACATACATTGCCACCATCACCTAGCACATATAAACTCAGGACTGAATCCCCTAAGCCTTGACAATGCCACTCCTTAAAAACCAAATACCTCTGTCAACATGACGCCCGGTCATCAAGTGGATTATACATGATTGCTCACAATGCTCACTTCTATACATAAGTCTC